CGTGCCCCAGATCGAGGTCACCTTCGACATGGACGCCAATGGAATCCTGAATGTGACGGCCAAGGAGATGAGCACCGGCAAAGCCAAGAACATTACCATCAATAACGACAAGGGCCGCCTCTCGCAGGCAGAGATCGATCGCATGGTGAACGAGGCCGAGCGGTACGCCGACGAGGATGAGAAGCAGCGCCAACGCATCTCGGCTCGCAACAGCCTCGAGGGCTACGTCTTCGGCGTCAAGCAGGCCGTGGAACAGGCCACTCCTGACAAGCTCAGCGAGAGCGAGAAATCCTCTGTACTCGAGAAGTGCAACGAGACGGTCAAGTGGCTGGACGCCAACACCACAGCCGACAAGGAGGAGTTCGAGTACAAGCTGAAGGAGCTCACACAGCACTGTTCCCCCATTATGACTAAGATGCACCAGCAGGGCCAGCCACAGAGCAACGCCAACTGTGGCCAACAGGCGGGCGGCTTTGGTGGTGCCGGCTACAAAGGACCCACCGTGGAGGAAGTCGACTAAAGTCATTCCCAACTATAGCTATATTGCTCCACTACTCGATATTAGTTTTTAGTTTAACAGACTGATTAAGATTTTTGGTTGATGTATCATCAATAAGTAAAGCTAATTGTTAAAGTATTCTTAAGTTAGCAACAAATTTTAGAATAAACCAATAATTTATTATTTTGAGAACCAAAATCAAATTGTCTTTGAATTGCCTGGAAAGGGATTAACATCATTTTCAGCTTAGCGATATATGATTACTATATGATTTGCTCTATTAAATATATAGTAGATGTATCTAGGTCCATTTTGGCGTGGAGATTCTCTACAAATAAAATAGGGGATTATTACATATTATATTCTGTTTTATTTAGAACACTATAGTTGCTTGAGACTTGCTATATCAAGCATGTACATATGTATATGCTCATGTAGACCAATCCTCATATAAAAAATAAATAGTTCTACAGTAAAGGCATAGTAAAGGTAGCTCGAGCTCCAAAATTGAACAGTTAAGTTACAGCAGACCTCCTCTTGAGATTGACCAATGCGTTGCAATGGAGTTTGTTGTGTGCATTGTATGCTTCTTGTATACATGATCAATCGTGATCTGCAATGCATCCCCTACAAGTAGGTTAAGATTTCCAGCTTGCCAGCTAGATCAACGTGACTAGATCAAATTGGGTCGATCGTTACATAGATAGATACATAGTACAAGACCTTTTACATTATGAATTCGCGTTTTCAATGGGTTCAAGGTATACAGAGAGCATTGTTATAGTTTTAATCATTTCAATCTCAGTGCAAATAAAATATGTCTATGTGCTTATGTGTCGTTCTATCAATCAAACACTATTAAATAACCTGGAACATTTTGCAGTGTCATTGTATGTTGCATGTGTATGTATGTATGTCTGTATGTATGTATGTATGTATGTATGTACATACATAGGCATTCGTTTTTAATTGGTCAGTGAACTTCATCAATTGATAAGCTTTACTGAAGAAACTATTTAACTGGTTGGATTACCATTCACGTGTACACGAGTTTGTATATATTGATGTAAACGTGATGTCCAAAAATAGCCTATTAAGTCAGCATTCGCAATTTTGTATTATAAAGAAAACATTCTAATAATAGGGAAAGTTTAAAATAATTTATTTGGTTTAAAAATATATTTGTGCGCTAACAATTTATTAGCCGAAATGAATTTTCTAGAAAAGCCAATTGTTGCGGTAGGTCAAGCTACACAACCAACCATTATTTTCTCTCCGTAGCTCGCCCATTATAAAAAACAAGCAAGACCTTCGAGAATATTCCAATCATTCCCATTGTACGTCGACTCTCCCTCTCTTGCACTCATAAGCAACCGCCTCGAGTGGGAATGACATTCGAGTCGATTCGAGAAGAGAGCGTCGAGAAATTTCGAAAAGAGAGCGCGCGAGTATAAATACGGCAGAAATTTGCTGCTCGCTTCAATTCAATTCAATCAAGTGAACTGACAACGTCGAAAGACAAAAGCTAAATACAAGCAAGCAACTAGCTGAACAAGCTAAACTACAGAAACCAAACAATTTTAAACTAAGTAAAGTTGAATCAAAGTAAAAAGTAAAGTTAAAAAAAAAGTAAAAAGTCAAAGTAATATATAATAACAACAAGAAGAGGAAAACCATTTCCACAACAACAAGTAGACGAGACTAATCTTAGAGAAGAATAGAAGAACAGAAGCAGAAGAAAACACAGATCACAGAACAAACAGAATGCCAGCTATTGGAATAGATCTGGGCACCACGTACTCCTGCGTGGGTGTCTACCAGCATGGCAAGGTGGAGATCATTGCAAATGACCAAGGCAACAGGACGACGCCCAGCTATGTGGCTTTCACAGATTCGGAGCGTCTGATTGGCGACGCGGCCAAGAACCAGGTGGCGATGAACCCCAAGAACACGGTGTTCGATGCGAAGCGACTGATTGGTCGCAAGTACGACGATCCGAAGATAGCGGAGGACATTAAGCACTGGCCCTTCAAGGTGGTCAGCGATGGTGGCAAGCCCAAGATTGGCGTCGAGTTCAAGGGAGAGCAGAAGCGCTTTGCGCCCGAGGAGATCAGCTCTATGGTGCTGGTGAAGATGAAGGAGACGGCCGAGGCGTACCTGGGCCAGAGCATCACAGACGCGGTCATCACAGTACCCGCCTACTTCAACGACTCGCAGCGCCAAGCCACCAAAGACGCCGGCCATATAGCCGGCCTCAACGTGCTGAGGATAATCAACGAGCCAACGGCGGCGGCACTGGCCTATGGCCTAGACAAGAATCTGAAGGGAGAGCGCAATGTGCTCATCTTCGATCTGGGCGGCGGCACCTTTGATGTGTCCATTTTAACCATCGACGAGGGTTCGCTGTTTGAGGTGCGAGCCACGGCCGGTGACACACACTTGGGCGGCGAGGACTTTGACAACCGACTGGTCACCCATCTGGCGGAGGAGTTCAAGCGCAAGTACAAAAAGGATTTGCGGTCTAATCCTCGCGCTCTTCGTCGCCTGCGCACTGCGGCAGAGCGAGCCAAGCGCACGCTCTCGTCTAGCACAGAGGCGACAATTGAGGTGGACGCGCTGTTTGAGGGCCACGACTTCTACACAAAGGTGAGCCGAGCGAGATTTGAGGAGCTGTGCGCCGATCTGTTCCGCAACACACTGGCGCCAGTGGAGAAGGCCCTGAACGATGCCAAAATGGACAAACAGCAGATCCACGACATTGTGCTCGTGGGCGGCTCTACTCGCATTCCAAAGGTGCAGAACTTGTTGCAACAGTTCTTCTGCGGCAAGAGCCTTAATCTTTCCATCAACCCCGACGAGGCGGTGGCCTACGGTGCAGCCGTCCAAGCAGCCATACTCAGCGGCGACCAGAGCGGCAAGATCCAGGACGTGCTCCTAGTGGACGTGGCTCCCCTTTCGCTGGGCATCGAGACTGCAGGCGGCGTCATGACCAAGCTGATTGAGCGCAACTCGCGCATCCCGTGCAAGCAGACGAAGACCTTTTCCACGTACTCGGACAACCAACCGGGCGTCTCTATTCAGGTGTTCGAGGGCGAGCGCGCCCTTACGCGGGACAACAATGCGTTGGGCACCTTCGATTTGTCTGGCATTCCGCCAGCACCGCGCGGCGTGCCCCAGATCGAGGTCACCTTCGACATGGACGCCAATGGAATCCTGAATGTGACGGCCAAGGAGATGAGCACCGGCAAAGCCAAGAACATTACCATCAATAACGACAAGGGCCGCCTCTCGCAGGCAGAGATCGATCGCATGGTGAACGAGGCCGAGCGGTACGCCGACGAGGATGAGAAGCAGCGCCAACGCATCTCGGCTCGCAACAGCCTCGAGGGCTACGTCTTCGGCGTCAAGCAGGCCGTGGAACAGGCCACTCCTGACAAGCTCAGCGAGAGCGAGAAATCCTCTGTACTCGAGAAGTGCAACGAGACGGTCAAGTGGCTGGACGCCAACACCACAGCCGACAAGGAGGAGTTCGAGTATAAGCTGAAGGAGCTCACACAGCACTGTTCCCCCATTATGACTAAGATGTACCAGCAGGGCCAGCCACAGAGCAACGCCAACTGTGGCCAACAGGCGGGCGGCTTTGGTGGTGCCGGCTACAAAGGACCCACCGTGGAGGAAGTCGACTAAAGTCATTCCCAACTATAGCTATATTGCTCCACTACTCGATATTAGTTTTTAGTTTAACAGACTGATTAAGATTTTTGGTTGATGTATCATCAATAAGTAAAGCTAATTGTTAAAGTATTCTTAAGTTAGCAACAAATTTTAGAATAAACCAATAATTTATTATTTTGAGAACCAAAATCAAATTGTCTTTGAATTGCCTGGGGTCAGCTTAAATTGATTGCGCTTTAATATTTCAATTTTCATGAAGAATTTTTTATTTGTTAACAAAATATAGATATAACTATATTAAATATGGATTTAAATTTTGATATAACTTAGTTTATATTATACATATTTCTTTTTTCATTCTGTCTGAACTCATTTAAAAGTTAGTTGAATGAATATTAGGAGATACTTACTATTAGTATTACAGTAAGTAAGGCCAATAGTTTAAGTGCGAAGTTAGCAACAAAGTTATTTATTATCTGACAAACAGAAATATATATATTTGCCATTAAAGAATATTTTAAGGATCATGTGATATGCATGGGAAATCGAGGGAATGAGGTTTTAGATCTTTACGCATATTGTCTATAAATATATTCGAAATTACACAATTTATTTTGATTGTCGATTTTAGAAGATGCTCTGCTGTGTAACTCTGAATACATACAATTTGTTGCCGCCAGCGTTTTTAAATTACAAAAAACGCGGCCTGTTTTCATTGACAATCGATAACAATCTCAAACGAGTTAGCAGTGCCAACTGCGATTAATCTCTAGTTTTACCGGCCGGCATGAAAATAAAATTTATTATTCCTAGCCTTGCTTGCGTGCCGTGTTAAAAGCTGTGGAGTTTTTATATTCTTGATTTTACATACGTAAATTCAGCATTGTGAGCGCAACGTATTTAAATTTATTCAAAAATATTTTACTAGCCATTTCAGACAATCTATCGATAGTCTATGCATCGACGCTGCGACGAAAAACGTAGAGACAGTGAGCCAGAAAAAAGACGCCGAAGCCAATTTTCAGTTTTTCGGAGGGATTTAGTAGTGTACTTGCCATTTGCAAAAAGTAATTAAAGCGTGAAGCAAAATACAGTGAAGATTTTTAATCAACACTTATATATGTTGTTTCTCTATTTAATATTCTTTTATATTTTGCTGTAGCGCAAATTTGCAGCTCGAGCATATAAAAATACGAAGGCGAGTGCACAGGAGAGCGAAGAACGTAAAGATAGTGAGCAGAAAAAGACGCCGACGCCAATTTTCGTTTTTCGGAGGGATTTAGTAACGTGCCTGGCAATTGCAAAAAGTAATTAAACTTCACAGTGCTAGCTTGAAAAATCATAATTGTTTAACATTTAATCAGAAGTAGTAAATGATTATATTTTATTTCTTATAATAGATATTTCTTGTATTTTGGCACAGCGCAAATCAGCGAAGTGAGCATCCACAAATAAGAAAGCGAATGCAAAGAGCGTGGAAAGAAAACGGAAATTGTTTGCGAAATAAACAGAATCAATTGCAGCCAAATCTAGAGCGCGAATAAAAACAAACTATATTAACAAATTGAATATGGAGGAGATTGCAGTGACCAAAAAGCGCGGGCGCCCGGCCAAGGGATCTGCGGGTGGCGCAGCTCCCACAGCGGGCAGTCCCGTCGAAAGCAACATTCCATTAATACCCAAAAAGCGCGGTCGACCGCCCAAGGTTAAGGGTGGGCGTGGCAGGCCTCCAAAGTTATCCGCTGCGGCTGCAAACAGTGACATCGAGGATTTGGATCAGGATGAGTTGGGTGATGCCAATGGTGAGCTGCCAATGCACCCGTTAAAGGCCAAGGGACGCGGTCGTCCACGCAAGGCGCCCGTGCAGACGCTAGAGAACAGTGGCAACGACGATGAAGATATGGATTCGTCGGCCGATGAGAAACCACCAGCAAAGCAACAAAAGTCGCCATCATCGGCCAAGCGTCGCAAACTGGGACGACCACGCAAGCATCAACCCAGCGAGGATGATGATGGTATGTATAGAGATAGAGATAAAGATTAGTATACAAAATTTGACCTGCACATGTACAGAATACGATGAAGATGATGACGAGGACCGTCGTCCTGTCGGTCGTCCTGCTGCTGGCTCAATCAACTTGAATATTGTACGCACTGGTCGTGGTCAAGGACGCCCCAAAAAGAATAAGTCAGGTGCGGCTGTAAAACGATCATCGCCAGCAGGTGAATCGAATGGCGATGATGCGCCTACAGCGCCTCGGAAGCGTGGACGTCCATCACTGGCCAATAAGCCAGCTCCGTATGTGCCATCAGGACGGCCGCGTGGACGTCCAAAAGCTCACCAATCGCCCGTTAAGGCTGCTGCCAATGACATAGACGATGAAGATGACGATGATGATCAGCAGCCGCAGAATGTGTCGGATGATGAGGAATCTGTGGAGCCAGAAGAGTCGACGGCAGTATCAACCACGCCAAAGAAGCGCGGACGACCCTCATTGGGAAACAACAAAAGCGCATCAGGAGCCAAACCGCGTGGTCGACCTAAGCTCCAGAAATCGCCAAACAATCAACAGGACGATGACGATGACGACGATCTGGACTCGGCTGGCGATTTAGGTGACGAGTCCAATGGCAAGGTGCCCAAGAAGCGTGGACGCAAGCCTCAAGGAGCAGCCGACGACAGTGGCGATGCTGATGAGGACAACGAAGACAGCAGCGGCGGCGGCGGATTAAATGATGACGCCGGTGACGACGATTCCGATGAGCCGAGAAAGCAGACAAGCTTGAATGAATCGAAATCCAAGCGCAAGGAACAACATTCGTCAGAGAATGGCGATGGAGACAATGCCAATGATTCCGTTGAGTGTGTTTCCGATGAAGCATCATGGACTAATGCTTAATTTGAATAGTATTTAGGCAACAACACAGCACATTTATTATTGGGACATGCAAAAATAATGAAATAACTATAACAAAAGGAAATTCCAATCAAATGCTACCTTGTATACCCCTTGAATGGAGTGCGCTAGGCAGTAATTCCATTTAAAATGTCCTCAAAAGAAAACAAAAAACGAAAAAAAACTTTAAGAAGAAAACCAGCGAAAACATACAATATGTTTTTCTAATTTTATGTTAAATTCACCCCTCCTCCACCTCCACCTCCTTATATATAATTCTAAAATATATTTCATCTTATTCCATTTTTAATATATAATTGGATTAATTTTGGCTTAAACTACATAATAGAAATACATTAAATATCATTGTAGTGACGTGTGAAAACAAGTACAGATCATTAATTTTATTAAAAATATATAAATAATAGAATAACATTGTGTTTGTAGTTGACATTCATAATTAACGCTTCTGCATTTATCAACATGTCCATAGTCTCGAGTATATCGAATAAGCTTTACATGAATAATACTTAAGTTACAGAAAATGCTAACGTGAATTATCGCACTGTAGATATCGATAACAACCCGTCTATCGACAACAATATTTTAGTCATTGTAAATCGTTTGTAAGAACAGCGTGTTTGTAATACATATGTAAATTTTTCAAATAAGCTAAGGTAAATAATAATTAATGTTACGGCAAGTGTAAGCATATAATAAAATACTAGTTTAATAACCAAAGGATATAGTGTTCCATTTGTGCGTGTGCGAAATGTGAACGTTCTAACTGCCTGAGCGTGCGGCTTCTTAATTTGTGTTTTGCGTAAATTTGCAAGCACTAGAAAAACAGTACTGAAAAAAGCATCGGAGAACTTTCCAATTGCTGGCTAATAATAATGCCCAACGTTTACTTTATTTTATTGAAACAGCAGTAATGGCAGCATTAAAATGCCGCAAAATTGATAAAAAAAAATGCCGCTAACAAAAACAAAACAAATACAGAGGCAATCTGCGGCTGCAGCGTTTCGTGCGTGTGTGTGTGTATGTTATGGACTTGCTACTAATGGAATTGGTTGCGGTCACTAAAATCGATCAAGATAAATGTTAGTTTTATGCAAACGTGCTTTAATGAATCTATAAAATGGTACAAGCATAACAAATGCAATTATTTTATAAACAGAAGTGTGGAAGCGCGTGCACCTGTATGTGTTTGACTTGCATATATTTGTTAGTTATGCAAAGGCAAATCCACGGTGAATCTTGATGCTATATAAAGGTTTTCATTAATTATTTCAATATTTTACATCAATCTTTATTGATAACTTCTCATTTAATTGAATAGTTGCAAATTTGCCAAATTGTGACAACCCTATTCGAATGGACCCTTGTATGCGAGCAGCTGTTCCAATGCTGTAGTTGTTTCACTTGGTTTTTGTTTATCGGACAATGTAAGTGCGCGCGCGAGGCAAATTTTATTTACAAATTGACTTAACTCGATCCAAAAGCAAGCAATACAGTATTTTGCTCATTGAACTCCAAATTTTTTGGAATTGGTAAATTTTTAAGCGAAAAAATTAGTTTTTTGCGATAATTAATTGTTTTATATTAATCTTTGTACTGTTTGCCCTTTTCCACATTGACCAAATCTGGTCACACTTTTTTCCGGCACATGCTCTCTCTCTAGAGCTCTCTCTCTTTTTATTTCTCTATGAATTTGTTCGCTCTGAGCGCAATCTCCTGCTGGTTTTGTGTGTTTTCGACGCTGGCGCTGTGTCTTTGCATTCGCATTCGCTTTATTATCGTTCTCGCGGCGACGACAACGTCGAAGAATTCTTAGCCGTATTCTTCTTCATCCTGTGTAAATAATTGTAATTTAAATATTTTAAATTAAACAAAAACCACGCAAAACAAATTAAATAAGCAATCTGAGGGCATTTCGCGCGTGTTTACCAAGTCATTAAGTGCATGTGTAAGTGCCGAAAAAATATAGAAATATTCAATTCTATAGATATTCAATTTTTAGTTTCGAGACACTTTTGCTTCCCTGCCTCTTTTTTACATTGTCATCGTCGTTTCCTTTTTGCTGTGACTGCGGCGGCGGCTGCAAAAATTTGTTATATATACAAACACATGTGTATATATTGTGTTTGTGTGTGTGCTTGTGTATGTGTGTCTTATATATATAAATCCAGACTAGTAGCGGCTGCACTAACACACGCATAATTAGACGCACACAGCGGATTTATATATGCATATTTATACATGTATAATTATATGCATACATATATATAGAGCATGTATAAATAGTGGCAAAATTGTTAGTTTTTGAGCAAATGTTAGTCGAGTGCGTCGCTGCATAAAATAAAAGGTAAAAATCAATTAAATGATGTATGTTCCTTTTGATGCGTGTGTTTTTCTTTAGTTTCCGCTAATTTTGTTAAGTTGCCAGCAAAAAAAGAAATTATTTTTCCGATTGGCTCGCATAATGCTTAGAGTATATTCTTGTTTCTGTGCGTGTGTGCGTTTGTCGTCTTCTGTCCATTCGTCCATTATCCGACCGTGCCTTGTTTCTTTTTCTTCCTTGTCAGCGGCAGCCATTTGCTTCTTCTTTACATTTGCACGGCACGGCGTTTAAAATATTTGTTTTTTCGCTCACACTCGTACTCTCGATTGCGCTCTCGCTCTCTTGCCGTGTGCCTTGCATTTGTATACAAGAATTTTCCCAATAAGAGTGCCGCTGTTACTACCGATGTTAAATAAAAACAAATTAACTAAGAAAATTTGTTAACATATTTATTTAAATTAACTAAGTTATATATTTTGCTTGTTTGGCTATACATATAGTATATTTATATTACTGCGCTTGCCACACCCCCCTTTTGGTTGGTTTGCGCATCACTCGCTTCGAAGCTCCTTTTTATGCTGTGTTTGTTCTCGTGCTTTTGTTTTTCACATGTCTCTTTTTGGCGTTTATCTTTGTGTTTGTTTTTGTATCGACAACGTGCGTTCATGTGTGTGTGTGCGTGACTGACTGACTGAGTAAGGCCCCCGCTAGGCACTGCGGTTTCGCACGCTGCACTTGTCTCTTGCCTCTGCTCTGGGCACTCTCTTTGGGTGTCAGTGGGAGTGGAAGGGGATAGGGTGTGGGCAAACTGTCGCTGGCTCGCGCGCATATAAACAACAGAGAAACAGACGACGGACGATTGCTTACATATTTTGTAACTTAACCTCAAAACGTTGTGGCCGCTGCTGCCGGCCGCCGTTCACTTCGTTTTATTGTTGGTGTGTGTATATGTTAATTTATATGTTTTTTCTTTCGCTTAGTCGCCTGCCCCCCTTTGGCTGCTGTCGTTTTCTTTGCGTACTTTTCGCGCATGATTCAGCGTCGCTGGTGTCGCGTTATTCTTTGCAATTGCTTCTGATATTCGGCTTTGGATTTAGCTTTAGTTACTCCTGTTTTTGCTTCTTCTTCTTCGTATATATTTTTTGCTTTGTTATTGTTTTTATAACGAAACAGAGGCGCGTTTATTTAGCTCATTTATAATGTTAAGCATTTGTTAAACATATTCTTGAGCTGGTTATCTGTCTGCCAGTTGCGTTATCTCCGTTTCTATACCATGACCAGCTCAAAGTAGGCACAGTGGGTTGTAATCTATAAATTGAAAATGTATCGAATATCGATATGTTTATATCGAATTTTTTAAAATGGTTCAAATTACAAAACAAATAATATTAATTGTATGTTCTTTCTCTTTGCAGTTTGTGTATATTTTCATCATTAAAACGTCGTGTAAATTAAAATCATCCTATTTATAATTCAAAATAATAATAACTAAAAACATCAAATCTTTCAATCTCAACAAATTTCAATTGATCTGTAAAAATATTTATATTGTTTAAAACCAATTCTCATACATCAATATTGAATGCATTAAAGAAAAGTTTATTTGGTTGGTTCCACTGTGTAAAGTATTATTCATAGTTTGTGTTAAATAGTGTAAATTTTTGTAAAAAAAAAAAAGAAAAATCAAACCATACCAAACGTGCAAGTTTTTTTTCGAGTGTATACAAATATCAAACGACAAATGTAATTAAATCTATCAAATGACTGTAAATTAATATTTAATATTAAGAAAGAGTAAAGTGTGGTTTCTATCCATGTAAAAAAAAAAAACGACAAGAATCGCAAAACAAAACAAGATAAACCAAAAAAAAAACAAACAACAAGAAGTGTATTAACGGTACAAGCTAAATGTGCTCTCGCCCCACTGTGCACGCGACGTATCCGCAATTTTTTTAAAATTGTAGCCGCAACGTAACGTCGTCCAGTTGCTTTTAAACTGTTGTTCTCGTTCCGTCAAAAAATATTTTGTACGTCTCATTTTTGGTTTCTGTGTTTTCTGATTTTATTCGGCTGTTTTTCGGTTGTTTTTGCAATACGCGCCAATTCGTAAGCTGAGCGTGCAGCAAACAGCCGTCAAAATTGAGCTGTTAAGCGCGCCCACAATCTCGATATCGACGGTAGCGCCAACCACGTCGCCATCGCCGCAACACCATCTACAAACACAGCCGCAACAGCAGCAGCAGGCGCCGTATCATCATCTTCAACAACAACAGCAGCAACATTACGGGCCACTGCCACCGCCTTCACCATACTTTCAGCATTTGCAGCAGCAACAACAACAGCAGCAGCAACAGCAACAACAACAACAACAGTTACAACACATGAAGTTTCTGGGCGGTAATGATGATCGCAACGGACGCGGCGGTGTCGGCGTCGGTAGCGACATACGCGGATCCAATACGCAGGATGTGGACGCAGCGAGTGCTGCCGCAGCCGCCGCTGCTGTTGGCTTCGTTTTTCAGCAGCGCCCATCACCCGGCGGCGGCGTCGGCGTCGGCGCTGGCGTCGGACCCGTTGGCTCCACCTTGCACGACGCCGCGGCTGCTGAGTACGCGGTCCATTTTGCCCAAAAACAACAGCAGACGCGTTGGGCATGCGGCGACGAACACGGCATCGATGTGAGTATATTAGCAGAAATTTAAACATAATATAAAGCTGTATGTTAGATTTGGCTTTGGGCCAATTGCACTTTAAGCCAAAAGGATTTATAAGAATTGTCTATAGGAGTGGGGCTTATGACAGAGAGAGAGAGAGAGAGAGAAATAGTCTGTAGTTTTGGATGCTAAAGTGTTTTAATTACAGACCAATATCGAAAATATTTGAGCACAAATGGGTACCAGTTATAGGTTTGTTAAAAGTTATCGATACATTTAGATATAGATTTAGATTTTCTTCATATAAACTAGATTTTTTCAATTTATAAGTGCTATTTTTTAATGTCCCAAATTAGATAGGCTACACAATCGGTCACAAAATAAAAAATTGTTTACTGCATTCAACAATCCGATTAAAATATTTGATAAATTAATATGAAAATATTTTATTGCTTTTTGGACATAGAAAACTTTTAAGATTCAATTTTTAGTAAGTCCTACATATTTGTCTACATAGATCTTATTTTTGTAATATAGAATATTCTTCGACTTTTTGCACTTAAATAATCTTTAATAAACAACAGCAACATCAACAAAACTTCAGTGTAAATTCAAAGCAAAATTTCGGAAGTTGTTTAATCTTTAGGCTTTACAACAATGTTTCGAATAGAAACATATTGTGAAGTTTTAACACATTTCTAGTATTTTCTAAAATATATGAGAGTATTTCTTTTTTTGCATTCCTACTCTTAGCCACATTTATTTTTGTGGAAAGCTTTTGAAATACTTTTTGTGCGACAGTGTGATTTGTATACCCTGTAGCATGAGTTTCTAAAGGTACAAAAAGCTAAATTATGTAGAAAAACAATTTTTTGTTTTGTTTTTTTTTTTTTTTTTTTTTAAAGTATCAAATATATAAATATATTTAGAATATCATATGAGTATTTTCGAGAAATATTTTTAAACTAAAAAAATTTATTTTTAAATATTATGTTTTATTTGTAGCCTATTTAAGGCATTTAATTGTCTATTTATAGGGTATTTTGAAAACGATTCGTATTACATTTATCGAAGCTTTATTCTGTTGCATTGTTGTCACAGAAAAGCTGCGAGAGTTGCGCGCATTGTGAATTTCATTTTGTTATAGAAATGGTCTGGTTCAGGGTGGATGGTTTAGTGGGAGGGCTGCAGTGGGAGTTTCTGCACAAACAGCGTGCAAACTTGGCAACGATTTCTTTAAGCTTTGTACATATATATGTTTTTCAAGGATAAGCCGAGTTCTCATCTACATTTTCCTTTTTATTTTTATGTTCTAGAATCCGGACAAATGGAAATACAATCCTCCCATGAATCCATCGAATGCCGCGCCCGGCGCACCGCCTGGCAACGGTGGCAGCAATGGCGGACCCGGTGCCATTGGCACCATTGGCATGGGCAGCGGTTTAGGAGGTGGTGGCATGGGCGGCAATGGCAGCGGCACCAACGGTGGTCTACATCATCCATCGATGGCAGCTGCGGCAGCCAATATGGCTGCCATGCAACAGGCCGCCGTGGCTAAGCATAATCACATGATGTCGCAGGCGGCCGCCGTAGTTGCTGCCCAGCAGCAGCAACAACAGCAGCAACATCAACAGCAGCAGCAACATAATGCTCAGGGTCCACCGCATCATATGATGGGCAGCGGCAATGGACTGGGCAATGGCAATGGATTAGGCGGCTTAGGCCAGCCGCATCCCGGCCAGCAGCAGCAACAACAGCAACAGGGTCAAAATCCCGGCCAGCATCAGTACAACTCGAATCTGCTCAGCCATGTGATGAACAATCATGTTGCCGCCGGCGCCGCCATGGGCCACATGACGCCCTATGCCCAATCGGGTGCCACTGGTAACATGTACGATCATCATGGCGGCGCACTGCATCCGGGCATGAATGGCGGTATGCCGAAGCCCCCACCGCCGCTGGGACCGCCGGGCGGACCACAGGATTTCGTTTATATGGGAGGACAACAGCATGCTGCTGCTGCCGCCGCCGCGGCAGCAGCTATGGGCGCTGCTCTGATGCCCCCACAGAATCAATATATGAATAACTCGGCCGCTGCTGCTGCCGCCGCCAATCGGAATGCAGCGGTGAGTAGACAAAGCTTACATATATATTTATATATATATGTGTGTATATATATGTATATCTAGTTACTAGTTTTTGCACTTAGATAAGTTAGCATTTTGGGCTAATCAATTATTTGATTTGCGTTTTAGTTAATATCATCGCCAAGTTGATTGATGATGATTAAATGGGCAACTTTTAGGGTTACATTTGACTGATAACTGGGTCATAAATGGGATTGAATATTTGGGGTACATTTTCAGACTTCAAAATCTGTTTACGTTGTTCAAAAACATACAGTAAAGCTTAAGTTTAAGGGATTTTAGAGCTATGAATCACAGTTAAATATTTTGTGAATTGAATTTTAGGCCCTTGCCATGTTTGTTTATTAATTTGTTATCATTAAATGAACAATTAAACGCTGGGAGAGCCATTAACAAAAAGTTATTTACATAGTGAAATATATATATAGAGTACAAGCTGATTTGAGCCTTAGCAACAATTGTAATATTTTAATGTTAGTTCTACATTAAAATTTCTTCTTTGATTTCCCACGTTTTTGTAAGCTTTTCACCATGCTTTCTTTCATGTTCTTTTGGCTACAACAATGATAAAGATTTCCACAATTTGGTTTTTATGATCGTTGCATTTTGTTCCAAGTGACCAAGTGGCTCGTGTCGTAAAATTGGCTTCATGAGTCTTTGGTTAATCAATAATTTGGCTTTTATGGGCAGTTGTATTTCAAAATTATCGCCCTGACCGAATCGAAAGAAAAACCCCAGACCCAAAAGAAAATGTTGCTAAATTGCAAAGCTTTTTCTCTCGTTTCACTCGAATGTGACTTTTTGTTTGCTCTTCAGTGGCCCTTTCAAGTTTTTCCTTATAGACACAAAATATCATAAAATTGTTGATTGTTATTGCTGGTTTTTCTATTTTCATTACATTTTCCATTTTCCGCCCGTACAAATTGATGTGTGAAATATTTTCGGCTTTTCCTTATATGCGTAGCCAATGAAATGTTTTTCACAGAGCCGAATTGATTGTCTTTTGGTTTAGACACAGGATTGGGCGAGAAATGTCTGAAGTTAAGGCTCTTGGGGTAGTTGGGGAATTGTATCACACGTGTTAATAAACTCTTGTTATTGGTTTTGGCACAAAATGCTGTTAAGGAATACTTTTTATTAGTACTGAATACGCTTGCCATTAAAAAGTTTTCTTTTCGATAATGGCAAGTTTACTTTTACGAGTTTGGTATAGCCTAGTTCATTTGGGAAAGCTAAAGCCGTAATCAAGGACAGTTAACATAATGAATGAAAGTTAACATTATGAAATTCAGAAGTGTGAGTAGAACAGCAAGTGACTTGCCTAATTAACGATAACTAGTTATCGATTTTTGATCGGTTCAGGATTTTCCTTTAACATACTTATAAATATATAGACAACATTGTTGGTGTATTATTGCTTAGATATATTTTGCTTGGCTTTGTCATACATTTGAAATTTTTAGTTTAAAGCTTCTTTTTATAAGCTATATGGCGACTTTATGTCTTGATGTTTTGCCTTTAATAAGCTGCCTAGTTAAATTAGTTATGATTTTTTACTTTTTTCCTCTGCCTAGTCTTTGTCTTCTTCTTTTTGGCCAGCTGGTTGATTTTGTTTTAGACTTGAGACACGTTTTAGCGCTTTGTCTCTTTGCTTTGCTGATGGTTTCTTGATTGCCTCGTACTGCTTCGTCCCTCCCTTTGCTCATCGGTTTTTAGTTCTCTGTTCTGTTCCGCTAACAAATGCATTCCGGTTGCAATTTTCTGCCTTATAAGCGTTGTACACACACTCACACACACACTTGGACACACATACACTTGCACACACATACACACAGTCACATACAATAAGTTGGTTCTGTGGAGGCATTTGTTCGCAGTACTCAGAAACCACTCGCATTTATAAATAAAAGAATTTAATACTTGACTTGAACTTAATGAGCCCTCAGCTGGCTCCACTTGCAGTTTTTCCACCTCTAGTTTTACCTTTGCCTCTTACATATTCATTTTTTTCCGTCCCATTGTTGTTGTTATGTCACAAATGCTTATAGGAAAAGCAGTTTTAATTAAAGAATTTCACTCGCTGAGGTTTCTGCTTTACATTTGCGGCTAGTCTTTGGCAGGCGATCAGGCAGCAGTCTACCGAGGGAACAGGAAGAGAAAGATAAAGGAGAAAAAAGACTAGTGTTGATGCGCAAGCGTATGTGTATACATATTTCATTACTTTCATTACAAATCTTCAATTAGATTTCATTGGGGTTACTTTAAACTTATTAATATTTTTTTAGAGTATTTACTCGTCGCATTTCCTTGCTTCCCAAATTTCTCACTTTCGCAACTAGCGTCCCTTTTGCTTGTTATTGTTGCCAGAGCGTTACCTTTTTTATTTCGCAACAACTTCCTTTTGCGCTTATTTCGCAATCTCTTTGGCTGGCAGCAGCAGCTCACAATACGAAACAGAAAACGAATTTATTGCAATTATGCCAGGACAGCAGCCGCAGCAACAGACACAGGAGCGAAACGAGCATAAAACACAGACAAAATTTGTAACTGTATTCGTGTGTGTGTAAGCTTTTGTTTGGTTGCTGTCGCTGTTACTCCACTTTTTAGCTCGTTCGCCTTTTATGCGTGTGTGTGTTTGACAGAGGCAGGCCCCAGTCAGCAGCAGCAGCAGCAGAGCGAATATTTGCCATCTTTTCAACACTATGGCTCTCACTCTCTCTCTCTTTGGCTTTGCTGCTGCGTTTACTCACATTGTTGTTGATGTCGTAGGTCATTGATTTGCGCTTAACAGCGCGGCGCTGCCGGCAGAAGCCTCATCTATGGGCACTGCGTCTCCCCAGTGCCCGTGCGCAGCCCTTTGTTTCTATTTCATTTTTTTCCTACAGGTTTTCTGTTGTTGTATCGTTGCATGTGGCGCATTCGGCGTTCTGTTTTTCTGGTTCTCTTCTGTATGTGTTCTTATTACTTTTTCTTGCATGCTGCCTGCCGCCTCGCTGCTTCTGTTGTTGCTGTAATTGTCGTTTTCTTTTTGCACGCTATGCTTTGTACTTGTTTCTTTATTTTTTTTTGCGTGTGCTGTAATGATTTAAATGTGTGTCTGTGTGGTGTCTGATTTTGAGCGCAGCTTTTATTTTGTTGTCATTGTCTTTCTCGCTGCTTCTGTTATGGGCTGCCCGCTGCGCTTTGACTCTCTGTAATGCAGATTTGGGGCGTCTTTAGAAGCTTTTAAATTCACCACGAAAACTTTGTAAAATCGTATGTGTGCTTGTGCATTCGTCGCTGCGGTTAAGATATGCGTGTGTATAGAAATGTTAACCCCCAGTGTAATGATAATGTTCACCCAGATTACTTATGAATAGAGCTTGAATCGAATTTAGTGTGCCTGTTGGGTGTAAAATGTTCTTAATTTAATACTCGAAGGCTTGTTGAATGAACTAGATGCTTAATTACAGTTATACTTGCCATAAACTTTGCTATATGGAAACTCCCCACATACATTGTATATGCCGCCCTCCACCCAGTTGCTTAGTTTGTTGTGCTTAATAATTATCATCATTACACTTGTTAACTTTATCACTTCTAGACTTGAGTAAAACAATTAGCTGTTGTTCTGGTTGCTCTGCTTCTGCTTCTGCATCCTCTCCATTTTGTTGTTACCCTCTCATAATTTCACACACTCTGAGCGCAGTGAAGAAGTCTTTGGTATGTTTGCGATCCTCACCTTCTGCTCTTCCTGTTGCGCTTCCCTCCGTGGGTTTCTGTTTCGCTTCTAATTTAACAAACGCTGCAGTCGCAGTTAAAGTCGCCGCTGGCAACGCGTTTGTTGCCGTTTCTTTGGCCTGCCGCGCGGTTGCCAATTAGTGAAAATGTTTGCCAGTTGCCTGCAATTTCCCAACAACAGCACGAGAGAACTGAATAACAGCTAAGGAAAATCAACTGAAATTATTTATGGACTAGAAGATACCTTTTATCCAATTGATGTTTAAATTAAGCTTGAAATGCATATAATACTCTCTGACTGCGAGATTAACGATTGTAGATACCCTGTATTCAGTGAAAAGTCATTAATTGAGGAAACGCTTGGTTCATAGGTAGTATATAGAGGCTTAAAAAATATAAGAATATTGTATTTTTGCTTTTAGAATTGATGGACTCGAAGATATTATTTATTTTTATTATTTATTTTGCTCTACTTTTCAATGTTTCGTAGGGGTTACACTTCAAAGTATTTCTCCTAAATACTTTACTTTTTTAAAATTGTTCCCATGTACAGTGTGTTTTTAAGTTCAACCTAACTGTGCTTATTTTAACTGGGGTTATATGGCCGGTGAACAGGTCTTTCTGCTAACATGGATGCGGGGACTATAAGTTTCTTCAGTGCACTATGTTTGTTTTCTGGTAAACTCATTAAAAAATTATTTATCCCGAATCCCGGTAAGAAACCGATATGCTCACCGCTCTTAATACAATCCTGCCTGGGAGTGACTCGACTGGGCGTGGATGTTGGCACTACGACGGCCACGGAGCCGCATAAGGATATCGGGATTACGTTTAACGATGAGTCGGAAATAGGCAAGGACTTTCATGAGTCATTGGAGCTTTCTCCGTGGGACAGCATGTTGTATATAGCCTACAATATGTTTATAATTCAGGACTATGCAATTCCTTGGGAATTCGACGATATTTTAACTGAAGAGCTTAGCTCGGAACTTGAAAATCTAGATTTGGCCGAGAACACAATTGCTTTAGAAAAGACTAGCGAGTGGGTAGAGATCAAGATGAATCATCTTACCGAAGAGAAAGTAGTCCCCATATACTCTACAACACCACAGCCCTGGCTCTAACTTTAAAGCCGAGAGTTGGTTTCTACAGCTAGCCACTCGCCGAGATTTTTTCAATATTAATGAAAGAACTAAAATAAGAGAACTATTTGACATGGCAAGGCCGCCGTTCCCCGTCAATTTTTATTCGGATCATCC